GATTAACGCGTGGATCGGTCATGAATTAAAGGGGATATTTCCCTTGCAAGAACATAAATTTTGCACCAGTTTTAAGCCGTGTATGCTAGGAATTTGTGTAGATAGTCTTCACCCATTTGTGTGAGTTCTCATTAGCTACGACGAGTAACGCCCTAAAAATCAGAGGTTATTCCCCATGGGATAGAAGGACACGCTTAAAGCGGTGCTGCATACATCGGAGCGATGCCGTATTTGCCGAAACCTGTATATGCTAAGAATCGGTGGAGCCATGATTAGTCTGTATCGCCGCCGCTCTCGCCGCGATGATGCTGAGTCATGCCTCCATTATCCGTCTTTGACAGTATATACACAGGACTCATCGTACAAAGCAGCACTAAGAGAAAATGACTCTTATTCGAGGAGTTGGAGTACGCCCATTCCTTGTTGGGTCTGCTCTTATCATGAGCCGCAACAGAGTTCAGCAGTGGCAATGTGTCATCGTCATCACGAACTCCAGCATCGGCCTAAAGGAATCGTGTACTGTCGAGTTTGAAGTGTTTCATTGGGCAGTACAGCGATTTGCGTAGCTTCTGTCAGCTAGCTCTGAAGGCGTCTGTGGTAGAGAGTCGGTGGTATGCACTTTTCGAATAGATTGTTTATAATCATTCAATGTGGGCATCGACCGCTAGAGTGCTGTCCGATCAGCTGTCTAGTCTCCCCTCACGGCTGTCCACACGTAGGAGCAGCTCACGACGTTCTAAGGTGCCATACTACCCTGTGGACCATTGGGCACCTCTCGTGCCTCAGATATCCCCGTTAGCATCATCGTCACTCTGTCTAGCATCAGCTGCCGCTAGCCTAGTAGCCCTCACCACAACGACATCATCAACAGTGCTGTGCGAGGAGGTTCCGGACAAGAAGGCCCGGCTTGGCATACAAGACGCTGAGCGGTATATATCCAGTGTAGTGCCGCATAGACCTCATTCGGCGGGGAGCAGCTTCGATGTGGTGCAACGTGGAGGGACCGATGTTTTGAAGTAGAAAACCGGAGGAATAGGATCTTTCGTGAAGGGATTTGCTCTCAGATGGCAATACTACTCCGACAACGGTGCGGACCTGTTTTACGCTCTTGTGGATGTACTCATGTCGATAACATCTGGGGAGGAAGAGGGGGACGTGCGGTAAGTATAAAGGGTGGTGGTCCAGCCGTTGCTCAGTTGCCCAATCTGAAGGGCTCATCGTTGACGTCCACGATGGTGATCCAAACTGGTTTGGTTGAGACTGGTTCTTGTAGAACCGATTTTATGACTGTTCCTGTCAGAGTAACTAAGCTGGACGGCTATTGCACCCCTCCACCACGGAAGCTGGCGGACATCCAGGTTGTCTTTGGCCAGCCGGAAAAGCCTCGTGCCACTCTAGATGTATACTCTAACTATCAAGAAGGCACTGGAAGGATGGTCACTACATGGGAGCTTAGTCGGCCTACTGGACAGCTCACTCGGAATGATGTTGATGTGAGTCTAACCATTTACCTTACGTTTTCTAGGAGCTGATTTCTCATAGAAATTGCCGAGACTAGATGATAGTTGTTTTCAAATTTCATGCTTTTTTCGCGGTGTCATATGTAGGTATTACTTCGTGGCCTCACAGAGCATGCAGTATACAGGCCTCGCCGCTATAGTGGCACCGTTGATCAGGACTCTGATATTGGTAGGAGGGTCCTCGATGAGGAGGTCTGTTCGGCACCGTTGTTCAGGGAGGGCCTTTGCTGAGCTATTCGACCAAGTATCTATGAATGAGGACGGACCGCAAGAGGGCGGGGCTAGACAACGTCGCGCGCCACAAAATGAGAGCTCGAGGGAGAAGGCTAAGAGGGAGCTGGAGGAGATGGGCATTGACGTTATCCTACCACCCGAGGAAGGTGAGCTATGATTCACTTGGTGGCGACTTGGTGTCCTACCATTGTTGTTGAGGTACTGTTAGTGATGATGATGTTTGGAAGGGCCTAGTGGGCTACCCCCAGACCAAGGCTAGAGTAGAGGAGACGGTCTTGCTGCAATTGAGGCATCCTGAGCTCTTCAAGAGGATAGCTGAAGGGACCCGAGGGGTAGGGCATGGGCATGCATTGTAAGGGCTACGGCAATTATCTAGAAAGCGGCTCCTGCTAACAAACCCAAGGTGGTCTTATTCGAGGGCCCACCGGGGACAGGCAAGACGTCAGCAGCGAGGTGATGGATGGCCTCCATCAGTGGTGCCCTCTCAAGCTAGTGATGTCAGATGTATAGCTGCTGGGTGTGGCATACCTCTGGTCTACGTGCCGTTAGAGCTCTGTTGTCCAAGTGGTACGGGGAAAGCGAGA